CTTCGATGACCAATTCGGCAGGACCTACAGCTGGTGCTTCCTGCATTTTCAGTCTTGCGGTTAAAAAAGATGTCGTCGTCTTATTTTCATCATAGCCTGAAAAATGATTTATTAGCGAAATAAGACCACTTGCATAGGTCCTGTTTGATGAATAAATGTGTCGTGTCGTCTCGTTACAAAGTTATTTTAGGTATAAATACAGAGTGTTCTACCCGCGTAAAACGTTGTTCTTCCGAAGTGGAAAAAAAAAACACATGAGAAACATGTGATCGTGAAAAAAAGAATCGTGAAACTGCAATAAAAAAAAACCACGATAATTATGATGAACACAACAGGATCACGACAAACACATGAGAATACCCTTTGCCGATGAAATCCACTACAATTACCTATAAGGTAAAAGCTGTCGATAGGTAAAAACAGTACTCAAAGTGAATGATCGAATACACAGTTTGGGTATTTAAGCACATTAGTAGTTGCACTCGGCGTTTGGGGACATCTCAGCAACATCACTAACAGTGGAGATCTACAACGGTGGCTGGAGCAATGTTCGTATTCTTAGCATATCTGTGGTAAACACACTTTAACATCTATTTGAATATTCAAGCGTACTGTCAGGCAAGTCTGTGAAATACAGGCTTATAGCTTGCACATATACCTAGGTCTCACGTACGGTCACTTGACAGTTTTGGTGGGAAAATTACAGCAATTGAAAATTTTGGCGCGAAGATTACGGCCGAATTACGAAATTCTGGCGGGAAAATCACGGTCATGTGAAAGCTCTGACGGGAAAATTGCTAACTCGGGAACCAGAAAAGCTAGGAAAGTCAAATTCTACAATATTTTCAATGAGCCTTTTTGTCGGTCGTTTTTGCTTGGTGAGACGACAAATTGTCTGCCGAAAATACAGAGATTGCTCCGTTTTTCAACAGAGCAACTGCAAAAATTTGAACTCGGCGCTGCACAATACACCAAGTCCAGTGGCGTGTCAGGCTCTACAAAGTGATCGTCTTGTCATGCATATCTACACAACTGCTGTCAGAAATCTGCGCGGTTCATCAAATCGTGCATGTGGCTTTCAGCGGATTGCAAGTGGACGAAATGCATGAAAACGTGTTTTCCTTTGCTCATCACATCAAGCATCTGAGC